TGCTATATGTTGGTGAATGTCTATGATGCATTTTTCAGTTGTATTTGTGCATCTTGTATAATTTGCAGGGACTGTTTTTTGTTTTCAAGTTGGGGGAGATGGAGGAAAGTGGAGAGGTGGGAACCTTGGGAACCACATCCTTCACAAATGTGCAACAGGTATATGCTGTCCCAGCATAGATTCTGATTGGATGGGGGTATATGCAGCTTTCCTTGATGGGAAGCTGGACTGTGGGAAGATTTGAGATGATACCAGGGCAGGCCAAAATGGACTGAGCCAGGATAATATTGACATTGTTATTTAATTACTGCTACCTGTGAGAGGACCAGGGTTTATCCCATCATCTCTCCTCATCCATCTCCCCTCAACAGGGACTAATTTTCCCTAGAAGATAACAAAATTGTCCCAGAGATCTGATTGGCCCCTGCCTTCCTTGATGCAGCTTCCTGATGTCCTAGGTGCAGAAAAAATCCCACCCACCTGGAGCTAACTTGATGGACATCTGAATACTTATATAAATTACCATGCCCCACTTTGCCAGCAAGAAGCGTTTCCATATGGAAACACACCTATAGGAAGTGAATTTAAAGAACCCCAATGTCACTGTATCCTTCTTAGACATCCTTGCTGTGTTGGGACTAAGTAAACCTTTAATTGTCCAATGACTTACAAGTATTTCATTTCATCCCCAAATTGAATCTTAAAAACCCACCAGTAACAGGAGGCTTTTTTGTCTTCAACACTAGCATGCAAAGGCTGCAAAGGTCCTGCCAACTTCCGCTACATTTCTGCAAGACTTCAGTGCTTTGCAGACCCCACGAAATGCCTTACAGACTGAGGTTCCTGCATTGGGTCAGTGGCCAAATTCCTACCACCCTTTGCCCTCACCTAAGTCGTAGTGCTGTGCTGATGGAACAATTTAGTGAGTGTAAAACAGCTTCCTATTCTAGTTTAACACATCAAATTTCATATGCTCTTGGTAGAAGTGGAACCTACATTCTTCCCAAGCATAGACTGTATCTCTGGGCAAGTCACTTAACCCCAACTGCCTCTCATAAAAACAAAACAAAACAAACCCAAAAAACCAAGTATAGATTGTTAGTTTAGAAAATGGATGACCTGAACAAAGCTTGATTTCTATTGTCACATGATTTGCATCCAGCTGACATTGCTAAGTCACATCATACTGGTGGGTGGCTGTTCCAGGGAAAAATGGGAGTTTTATCAGAAGGTTGTAGAAATCTGTTTGTGGCAACAGGGACCAGAGGTGGAGGACAGAATTAGTGACACTAAAGAGTGCGAGCTCTTCAAGCCCTCTTATTCTGTGCTACTCTTGTCTATAAATCCTCCATAGGAGTAACCTCTCCTTTTATTGTCTTGGGGGTAGAGTACCAACATATCACTCAGGCTGTCCATTCTCCTACAAAACCAGTCCTTGTTATTTGCTGGTAATGTTTTTTGTACTTCTCCTTTGTACTTCTCAGTAAGAACATGACACAATCGGCTTGTACTTACCACATGACACAACCCATAAATAACCTCAGGAGAAATGTGATATTTCAAGTCATACAGACATGCTTAGGAGAAGGGAATACAATATGGCAAGAATAAAGATGGCAAAATTTGAAATAGGTGTATCTTAAGTAAGCAGAAATGGAGGTCTCCCATAACTTCTCATCCTTAGCTTCTACAATCTGGAAATCATTCGGATCCATGTTATCAAGACTAAATTCCGCAGGAACAAGCGGTTTATGTCCTGTGTGGTTGATTTCCTTAAAAGGGATTGCTGTGATGCCTATGTAACGAGACAAGACTTATCCAACCTTATGGACAATGTGTGTATGGAATCATCACGGATAATTTCTCATCTAAAGTCACTAAGACATGGGGTAGGTTGGGACTTATGTTCATGTCCTTTGTAGAGAACTGTCTATACTTTAGCTTAGGATATTTTTGGGATAGAGGAAGATAAGGAAGGGTAGCATCTCTTCCTTCTGCATCCTTCACTAGACAACAAGATGGTACAGTAGAGAATGCTGGATCTGAAGTCTGGGAGACCCAAGGTTCAAATCTCGCCATAGAGCCTTACTAGTTAGCTGGGTGACTTTGGACAAGTTAATTAACCTCTGTCTGCCTGTTTTCTAATCCGTAAAATGAGGACAATAATAGCACCTACCTCCCAGGGTTGTTTTGAGGATACAATGAGATTTCTGTAATGGGCTTTGCAAAACATTAAAGCGCCACATGCTATTTTTATTTTTATTATTATTATTATTAGTCATTAACAACAGTAGCTGCCAAGCTGTGGTAGATGGCTTTGGAGAAGGAAAAACTCACGTTCATTGCAGTCAGCAGAAATCAGAACGACCATGGAAAAGTAGTTTTCAGAACCAGAACCTAAGTATCCATTTAATTTTAAAGTCCTAAATAGAACTGCTCACTTAAACTTCACAAACAGTATCATTTTCCCCATAAACCTCAAAAGGCCTAAACGACCGCTAAAGGACTTTTACCTAGGCCTAGCCAGCCAGCTCCTTCTATCCTACAGCACCTTTCTTTGGTTGCAAAGAGGCAATGTGGTGTATAGGCAATGTGGGATGAGTATAGGACTTGGAAGTCAGAAGACCTACATTCAAATCCCACCTGACATTTAATGGCCAAGTGACCAAGGGCAAGTCACTTAGCTTCTCTGAGACCGTTTCCTCATCTGTAACAATGGTCATCCAATTTCCTATCAAATGAAGAAAGTGCCCTGTAAACTTTAAAAGCACAATGTAAACATGAAGACCTTACAGAAAGTAGTACAGGTTGAACCGTATCATCCTGTCAATGGGATCACCTTAGCTCTTCACCTCGCTTAGGAAGTGGGTTGGGAGTCCCAGCATGACCTGATGCCAGATTGTAGCAGCTGAAAGGCAGATCTACTTCTGCCGGGAAGGGGAATAAATTCATTCTGGCTACATAAAGTTCAGCAACAAGCTGTATGGCTGGGCAAGAATGAACTATTAATATAGCCGCCACAACAAACACATTTGCTAGATATGGGGGCAGTTTTAACAGCATAAATTTTTCTACACATGTTAAAGCTGAGTTACATTTTCACAAACATGCAATTAAAAAAGTTACCTGAATTCCTTCCATGTGACCGAAGGAACATGGGAATGGAGTTTATTTTATTAAAATAGAATATATGCATATACAGAGGAGCATAAAGCAAAAGGGGTGATCTACCAGAAAATACATTGTGAAAGTACAGCATGTGGCTGGTAACCCACCTGAAAGTTAGTTAAGGACGTGAACCATGCTCATGCCACAAGCACACGCTAGTGTAAGATGGGTAATACCCTCTGGCAAGGAGACGCTGTGGCCTCGGCCTTGTTTCCAAAGGGACACGGCCTCTACTTACACAGTGATCATCTCGCAACTCTTTTCAACCTGGAATGGTTTGGTGGTCTCAGCTGGCAGGGTTCTTAAAAGTGTTTTCGTTCTCTCTATTTATATTTCATATACTTTTCTCAGAAGGCCAAATAAATTGTGAAAGGTGGCATTTTTCTCAATGAAACCACATCAACAGGAATATGATTAATTGATGAGGGATCAAAGACTAAATGGCAATAAGGGAACAATTGGGAATACACTGAAATTTGTACACTTCAAACTGATTCATTAAAGAAAAAACAGACTACTTGTTTATTTTTTTTTCTGTTGTTTATTTGGGAAAAGTGCTTCTTACAAAAAGGCAGCTGCAAAATACAGAGACCTCTGCAACAATTACTTGTTTTATCTTAAAGTGAAAGGATGGGTGGGTCCAAGGAACCAGAGCAGTAGGTGGACAGATCATGGGGGCCTCCATGAATTATTTCAAGAAAAAGAGCAACAAATCACAAAGCTAAAATTCCTCCTTAAGGAATCTGGTAACAACTTACTTGAGCTCTTCTCATGGATTAGTCCCCTTAATGAAGGCTTAGTACTGCAAATTGATGTTGAGTTATACTATGCTACCTGCACAGCTGAGGGGTGGAACAAGGCAAATACCCACCAAAAAACAAAAACAAAAAACAAAAAGCCAACATAAAAAACCCCAAAACCTCTCAAATGAGAACAAAGATTTTTCCCAAAGTGCCTTATTTGGAGAGGCTCAAGATTGTATACAATACTAAATAAAGTGAGCCATGTGACTGAGTCCCAAACTGTGCTGTTATTCTGGATAACCAGATGGTGCCACTCTATGGCTAACACCATTTCTCTATTTATATAGACAGAGAGAGCGAGCACTGCTATATTTGTGACTACCAAATATCAAGTTACCTCTGTGTCCTTTAGGATCAGTATCTGCCACAGACTGGGCTGAGACCACTAAACCAATTTTCCCATCTGACTGGAGGCTAGATTTCATGCACCTATACCAGGATGAAATACACCAATATAGGGATGAAAACCTTCTTTCACACACATATGCACACATATACACACACAGCCACACCCAGAGCCACCCAAGTCTCCCAGCCCTTGAGACCCAATTCTACAATTTATTTGATAATAAACTTCTCTCCTTTCACATACAAACAGTTTTCCTTTCATGCTACACACACTAAAACCTGAACACATTCGCACCTGGTTCTGGTTACCCAGTAGTAAGTTATGTGCAAGTAAACAAGAGACCAAAACCACAATTGAACAAGTGCGTGTGGTGGAATTACAGGGTGGGGAACAGAGCTGAAAACAGCCAATGTAGAGATCTGACCAGAAATCTGAAGCAACCATTCTTAAGTCAGGTAGTGACAAAAGACTACTTGGCCAATTTAGATTCCTTCCCCTATCCCACGCCCCTAGTCCTGCCCTCCCACCCCCCCTCCCCCAGAATGGCCATTGCTCATGTTTGTATCTGGGCTCTTCAAAATGAGTGTGGAAGTTCTGTAAACACTAACCTGGAACTGTGTGAATCCCGTTGAAAACAGAGATGATGCAACAAACCCTAAGCTAACTGTCTGACAGTTAAATTCATTTTACAAAAACTAACTTTAAGATTTATTTCTTGTTATTTCTTTTTTTTTAACAGAGAAAACAACACACTCCTGGGGGAAGAAGGCAGGGAGTTGGGAAGGAAAGGGAGACAGACCCTGGGGTAAAAATTATTACAACAGCACCTGGAATTGATAGGCCTGCCTAGGAGAGAAACACAGGCACTGCCACAACACCACAGGAAATAGCTACTGTCTGAGGCTGAGCAGACAAGTCCAAACTCCAATGAAAGGTGCTATAGATCCAAGTCGTAATAATCTTCCAGCTCATCATGAAACAAGTCCCATTCATCTTCAGAGTCCGTCAGGTCGTCGTCCCCACCTGCTGCCAAAAGCATAAGCAACATCTCGCCCAGCTCAAACGTTACAACCTCATCTTCATCATTATCAAAGGGGTTGCTGCTCTCCCTCTCCTCAATAAGCTCCCAGAAGCGGTTCCTTCTTTGGGCCTGTAAGAGATATGGTGGACATGGTAGGGATGGCACTGCTGATCAATGTCCTCTAATCTTATTGTAAGGCAAACTTCCCAACATGCCAATGGGCATGTGGAAGCGAACTTCTCATATGGGGCTTCCCCTCTAGCTACTTGTTTGTTGCTTAGAATGCTAGGGAAGAATTAGTATATTCTTTTCCATATCCCTTCCTCTTTCTAAGAAGACACATATGGCCTACCTATGCTCCTACGTAGCAGTAATCTTTCTCTTTCCTTCTTTGGTTCCAATATGAAAACTTTTTAATAAAACATTGACATTTCCCCTCTTAAAACAGAGTAAGATTTACCCGGTATCGGTTTGATGTTCCCACTTTTTGTCTCTGAGGCTCCTCTCTGCGGCCATCAGGGTACGCATGCTTATAAAAACAGTTCCCTCCAAACGGGCAGCTCCCACGTCCTTCATCGAAATACCTGCATGGTTTGTTGCTGGGGGAAAAACGTGCTCATTTTACCTCAAAGAAATAGAAAATGGCCCTTAAATCTATTATCCAATTTGTTAAAACAGCAATGGGAGAGAATGTGATTCTTTGTATAATCCTCACTGTCCCATTCTTTCTATGCTATAACCTCTAAGTATGTACACTACATGAGGAGAAATGCTAGAAATAAGTCATCTTTCCAAAACTATATTATTTAGTGATTTTTAGCTCCTTAGAACCAGGGAAGAAAAAAATCTTATTACATCATAGGATGTCAGAACTGAAAGGGACCTTAAGAGATCAACAGTTTAACCTCTCTTACCATTACTTCTCACACACGCCTATTAAAAACAAATGCAGTTTCACAAAAACAAACTGAACACTGTCCCGTCCCCCTCCCCCACCATAGCTTAGTAAACCAATACTATTAGGAGGAATGTCCTATGGCATGGACCCTGATAGCCAGGAATTAGGCCAGGGATGAAAACGTATACTGAAGAGGAAAACTAAGGAGGGAGAGTAAAGTAGTGTAAGGGTATGAAACGGCACTGTTCTTTCCAAGAGTGCCTAGGAGTATTTGGGAGACGGCTCTCGGGCTCCTACCTCATTGCTTCCTTGTACTTCTGAATGAGTTTCTGCTTCTCTTCTTTCTCCTCCACCCAGTACTCACTTGGAATGACAAAGTTCGATGTGATTCGGCATTCTGGGCAGGATCTGGGAAACAAGGAACAGGTTACAAAGACATCTTGGTGGGCCATATGCAGATTTAAAGCATCACTAGAAGACACAGGGGAAACTCTTCTGGACCATTTTGTTTCAGACAAGACAGTTTTAGGAATTCTGTCCTGTGGCTAGCCAGTGCATTTCAAACAGATTCCTTTTCCTTTCATTTAAATCAATGTATTTCTTATATCTTTACCCTATGGGCTTTGTATGATAGTGAGAACAATATCTAAATGGTGGTATATTATTAGTTATATGGTGATAGGACCATTAGAGGGGAAATGTTAGGGTTCACAAGGACCAGAACTACTAGATTCACCTTCCCTAAAATGGCTATCAGTTAAATAAAATCTACTCAATGTATAAATACCCCACTGAATGTTACACAAGGCTCCCATATCCAAATAAGAAATGCATCTTGCCAACAAAGACATTAGTTGGCATATAAGGAAAAAAATTTCCATTTTATTAAGTTTTACAATACGTTTTATTTAAATATGGTCTTGTCTACTCTGTTTTAAGTTGGCACAAGATGCTTTTACTACTACCACCCACCTGGCTGAGATTAGAAAAGAACCTTACTTTATAATCTTGCTTTCAAACTGCTTAGCACTTCTCCATTTTCGTATGCACTTTAGACAGTAGGTGTGGTTGCAGTTGGAGAGAATCCCAAAGCGGCGCTCACTAGGGTTGGCTTTTTCGTAGACTACCTCCATGCAGATTCCACACACCATGTCCTTACTGCGCTGGACAGCAAATGAGAGTTCCATGTCCTTCTCATGAGCCTCAATGCAAGACTAGAAGAAAGGATAAGGGAGAAAAACCTAGCAATTCATTCAACTAATACTTATTAACCATCTTGCAATGCACTGAACTAGGGGAAATACAACATAAAAAGAAGTGAGACATGGCCCTTACTCTTCAGGAGTTGATGATCTAACTGGGGTTAGATCTTTCATATACAGATCATCGATTATAGTTAGTTCTTGAATATACACACCAATGGGAGGTAATAGTGAGAATAATGCCCAAACCACATATGCTTGTATTTAAAAATGTGTTTTTATTTTTCACATTTGAACAAAGGTAAAACTGATATTCTGAGAATGGACAAAATAAAATCTGTATTTTATTGTGAAGACAATATTGAATATTATGAAGTAGTTAGAACCTACCCAATTTCCCCATTCTTCCTCTGTACCCTTTGTTCTCCATATTCCACAAACAGAAAAGACAACATCTCTCAGAACAAGAGCTTAACAACAAAACTGTATAGGTAGGACCAATGAAATATCTCTAATTTTATTTAAAAGGTTAAAATGCTACGGGGTTCACAAGATGAAAAAGAAAGAAATGATCATATTGTGAAGCAGATTAAAAGTGAGGGTTCCACTAATGTATTAAGTCTCCTCGTTGACTTACTTTTATATGCTGTGATCTCTGGGCAGCATCCACTGGGTGCAGGACCTGCAAACCACACATGTCACAGGCATCCCCATGAAGGTAAACACAATTCTCCCCATAACGGCATTCTCCTACTGCTGCGTAGGGGCAAAGCTGCTTCTTCATTTCCACATTGGTTTGCTGTTTTTCTAATTCTTCCTCTATCACCATGCCCTGCAGGGGTGCTTCAGTGCAGGAAGGGGCTGCTAGGAAACGTTTAAGAAATGATTAAGAGAATTAGAGTTCATGTTTGAATCTTATACATTCGAGGCTTTGAAGGTAAAACAATACATTTTTTAAAAATGCAAATGTACATCTTCCTAGCTAGAGGATAAGAACACAAAAGAACTTTTACTTTAAAACACCCAGCATCTTTTCCAGTTCATTTTTTTAACCTCAGAAATAAAGGAAAAATATACTTCTAATACTGTTTTCTCAGCAGGGCAAGACAATGTAAGCTTCCAATTCTTGAACATGTTAAATTCATCATTGGTTTATGATTTCCTTCTATCACCTTCATGTTGCTCTGAACTGAGTTTTTTAAAACTGTGATTAGCCCAAATACAGTCAACTAGCATAGATCCAAGATTGCAGGAGAGATGTCACCACTCCTATAGCTGACAAACTATTATGCACACAAAGCTTTAATTTTATCCTTTGAAATACTTACCACGTCCACAGTACGGTTGCCCAGGAACAAACTCAATGGCGTTTACCCAGTCTTCCCCACCTGCTCCTGCAGCTGCAAAATTTGAATTTTCTGATTCAGCTTCACCAGTACTGGCTTCAGCAAGTGGTTCAACCAGTGTTGGGAGGCTCGAAGAGGCTGGCAGGTCGAGTTTTGCAGCTAGGTTGGCAGCAGTCACTTCTTCTCGTTTCAATGGCTTGGTATGTTCATATCTAACAAATAAAAGAATGCTAATCATTGTCTGGTTGGAGTCAACATGTAGATACACAGGACACTGGCAGAGACACTTGCTGTTAAGTTCATTACTGGTAAAATTCAACTCTAATTAGGGAGAACCAATTTCTATTAGTTTGAATTATGAAACTATCCCACTGACTTTGACTGTGAAATATATTCACACAAAAGCAATGCTATACTATTCAACAATGCTGACGTAAAGTATCTTGCCTGCTTCTCCAAGCTAACACTCTGCAGAATAGAGGGCTGCCATGTGTTTTCAATCTGTGTGCAAAAAGATGTCAGCATGTACTTATCTTCTTTTATATCTGGCTACCTCAATCCATATTTCTAACCTAACTTCCTCCTTTTTCCCCTCTAAGCAATACCTTCCCTGTGCACAGCAGAAAGAAAGGATCTCAAATTGCCCTTCAAACTCTTTGTTTGAAGGAATATGTAACCATATTGATAAGTCTCTTTGAAGAGGAAGAATTTAAATAGCAGTGGTTCAGTAGAGGTACTGCAGAAACCTCCAACATTATTTCCTTTTAGAAATTATGAGTGCTACAAGGCAAACATAACACTTAAATTTGAAACGACTGCCTTAGAACAAATCACAAAACCACTTTAGGATCCTAGTCAAGTAAACAGTATTATAAAATAGCTTGTTCTGAAAATATATGAATGCAATGAAATATCATTTAACAGTAAGACGATTCAGAGAAACATGGGTAGACTGTAGTGAAGTTATAAGCAAATCCCCCCCAATGGCCCCCAAATGGATTACTACATAATTATAAATGTCTGAGCTTGTCCCCAGGAATGAGTTGAAGAAAATGTACTTCCATCTCTTATTTGTAGAAGTGAAAGGATTACAGGTTTGGAACAGTCCATGTTACAAATCACAAGATCACATGTTGGGGTAACTTGAGGACTTGTTTTTCCCTCCCTCTCTTTTTTATTCTTTGATATAAAGAATGGTTCCCCAAGTATGGAAGGAGGGATGTTTGGAAACGAAAGGGAAATTAAAAACAAAAGATGAAAAAAATTCAAGAAAAAAAATGCCATCAGTAAAATTTGAAAAGCTATGAGTTAAGTTCGAGAACTGCTTGGGAGGTACAATACTTAACAGATAACAGCAAGAAAAAAATTACCTTCTAGAGGTCACAAAATATTCTGCAACTAACTCTTGTGGCAATAATAAGAGGTGGAAGGATGAGACAGATGCGGAAAGGCTCTTTCCTGCCCAAGAAGTATTTTCTTCATACTACTTAACAAAAAAAACTGGGAAGATAAGACAGTGATCTCATCTGTAAAATGAGAAGCTTTAGATAAAATAATATCTAAGGTCTTCTTTTAACTTTGGCTTTAACATTCTTTGATTCTAAACAGTGCCAAGAAACTTCTAGCCAAGCAAGGTCTATGACAGTCAGAAGACTCATTAAAGAACAAAGCCAACAGCTGTGATACACATGGGCTCTATCTAGCAAGTCACCTGAAGTCTGAGAATTGGGCCCCCTTTTAAACTATCTTTACATTTCCTCTTGCTGCCTAACCCAATAGTTTGCAAACAGAAGAATTTAATGAATGGCTGCTAACTTCCAAGAAAATAATTTTAAAAGCTTAGAACCATTCAAATTAAGTCTTGGGATAAGATCTGGGTGTTAAACTGTGATAAGGGTTAGGGACAAAGTTATCTTTATCTTAGACTAGTTTCTTTGAACGTAAGAACTAGCTGTGTATCTTTAATCTTGCCTAGTCATTTGAATACTATTTTAATAAAAAATCCTACTCTTACAAAACAGGAGAAAAAGACTTATTTTCACCTCAAGCAAAGCCATCCGGAAGGCAAAAAGCCTTACTGTTTAATGACTACTTGGCCATTGCTGAGGCACCATTGCCATCTGGTGGCAGAACACTTTAATTAATGGTGAAGAGGTAATAATTTTTTTTTTTAATTGTGGTACATGAATCTAATGAAACACTCTGTAAGAAATTATGAATAACATAAGTACAAGCATGGCAAGATTTATGTGACAGAAAGAGAAATGAACAGAACCAAGAAAACAACGCACACAACTACAACAAAGTATATGGAAAGAACAATTAACTGAATATAAATGCTGTAAAATTTAATGACCAATCTTGATCCATAAGTAAAGATGAAAATGAACCAGCTTTCCTTCTTTGCATACCTAAAGTGTGGGGCTATAGGGTACTTAATAAAATTTCAAACTTTTTTTCACACATTGATTAGTAGTGCTATAAAATTATTCTTTTTACTACTTGTTATATAAGCGATGATTCTCTAATCATGAGCATTTACATAATGCTTTATGGTCTCTAAACAGTAATAAACCTGTAAAAGTCCAATCTGTAAACCTGAACATATACAATTATAGTACTAGATGTACTGCAAGAGGGCCTGAAGTCTGGGGCAGCTAGCTGGTGCAGTGGATAGAGCACTGGCCCTGAAGTCAGGAGGACCTGAGTTCAAATCCAGCCTCAGACCAAACACTTGACACTTACTAGCTGTATGACCCTGGGCAAGTCACTTAACCCCAACTGCCTTTAAAAAAAAAAAAGAGGGTCTGAGGTCTCAGCCAACAGCCTGGTCAGTGGCATCTTGCACAAGCACTGTGGGCAGTGTATCACAAGATGGGATAGTTAGGGTGAAAAGGAAAATGTCCCACTGAATAACCCTCAATCTGTTTTCAGTATTTAAATGCTGTGCTTATAAAGAAAGGTCCTATACATACCAAAATATCCACAGCAGCACTTTTTTTTAGGGCAGCAAAAAATGGGAAAAAATGGGTACATGCCCATCATCCAATGGAGGTTTTAAGTGAACTAGTTCACTGAGTCAAGAGAGTGATATGGCAGCCAAGAAAACCAGGAAGGACTATAAAAATGTTACTGCAATTCTTATCAAGATATTTTGTTTTCATATAAAGTGAACTTTCCTCTTTTCCCTAATATACTCATTTTCAGGATGTTCAAGGAAGCACTCCCTCAATAGATATGCCGACATTTTTTCTGAATCTAAAACAATGACCACAAATTTTGAATAGAATAATAATAAAGTTTTGAAATATGAGAAGACATATGACTATACAGAAACAGAAAGTTCATGGGTGGGGAATATTGCATTTATTTTCATATTTTTTGATGTATTGATTGGTTTTGCTAGTTTTTCTTCTTCCTCTTTAAGAAAATATCCAATCCTTTGTATACATTGATGACACCAGCACTTAGCATAGTGTCAGGCACATAGCAAGCACCTAATAGATGTTTATAGGTTGATAGTCACCTAAGCTTATAAATATTAGAGCAACTATTGACCCATTTATCTACATGATAAAGTATAATTCTTTTTTAAATTAATTTATTTTTAGTTTTCAACAATCACTTCCATAAGCTTTTGAGTTTAAAATTTTTCTTCCCCTCCCTTCCCCCTCTCCCCAAGACGGTGTGCAATCTGATATAGGCTCTACATGTACATTCCTATTAAACGTATATATTTTTTAAAATTTTACCATTTTATTTTTTTATTTTTCCTCAGTTACATGTAAAAACAATTTCCAACATTCATTTTTAAAACCCTGAGTTACAAATTCTCTCCCTTCCTCCCTCCCTACCCCCCATTGAGAAGGCAAGCAGTTTGATATAGGTTATACATGTGCAGTCATGCAAAACATTTTCATATTAGTCATGTTGTAAAAGAAAATATAGACAAAAAAAACCCTCAAAAAATAAAGTAAAAGAAAAACATGCTTCAATCTGTACTCAGATACCATCTCTTCTTCCTCTGGAGATGGATAGCATTTTTCATCTAAGTCTGTCAGAATTGTCTTGGATCATTGTATTGCTGAGAATAGCCAAGTCATTCACAGGTGATCACCTTACAATAGTTTTTTTTTTGCTGGTAAATTTTTTCTTCTTTTTTTTTAATATAAATTTATTTATTTTTAGTTTTCAACATTCACTTCCATAAGTTTTTGAGTTCCAAATTTTCACCCCATCTCCCCCCTCCCCCCACCCCAAGATGGCATGTATTCTGAATATCCCTTCCCCTAGTCTGTCCTCTCTTCTATCTCTCTCCCCTTTTCTTATCCCCTTCCCCTTCTATCTTCCTGTAGGGCAGGACAGACTTCTGTACCCCATTTCCTATATTTCTTATTAAACATATTTTCACATTAGTGATGTTATAAAGAATTAGAACCAATAGGAGGAACCACAAGAAAGAGGAAACAAAACAAAAGAGAAAAAAAAAGAGCAAATAGTATGCTTTGATCTGCATTCAAACTCCATAGTTCTTTCTCTGGATGTGGACAGCATTTCCATCAAGAGACTTTTGGAGATGTCTTAGATCCTTGGATTGCTGAGAAGAGCTAAGTCCATCAAAGTTAGTCATCACACAATGTGGCTGTTACTGTATACAATAATGTATAATTCTTGATACTGGGATTCAAAACCTTGCACAATATCTGGCCCCAACCTACCTTTCCAGCCTTATCTTATATGATACTATTAACTCTTCAGTTCCATGATGCTGTTCTACCATGTCTTTGCCCACACCACCACCTATGACTGGAGTGGCCTCTCCTTCCCCTGAGAGCCCAGGGGAGTCATTCCTTTCCTCTATGCAGCTGTCCCTGACCCACCCCTCAATGATCTCTCACATCCCAATTTTTTTCTGACACTTTGTCTAGCTCTCTTCTGTGCATTTCTTCTATCACATTCATTTGTATATGTCTTCTTCCCAATTTTAAGTTCCTGAGGGCAAGGTCTGTATTCAAATTTTTGTTTTCCATGGAAAATGTTTTGCATAGAGGAGGTGCTCAAATTTTTAAAATAAGAAGTCCATACTTTATCAAGATTTTCAAATTAACTCTCAATATATCAAGCTTCTTTCTCATTTAATATAATATATGACATGATTTTTATAGTCATGTAAAGTTAGCTGTAGAAACATTATTAATTTTTTATTATTATCCTCTAGGTTAGAAGTTAGTTGAAATTTTTAGAGTAAGGAGAATAAATAAGGTTCTATTTATGAAAATCAAATAATTTAAGAAAAAAAGTCAAGAACAAGGACTTAAAAGTCCTATGTGCTTTATCAGTTCATACAAAGTTTCCCAGGGTTCTCTGAATTTATCATTTGTCATGTGGTACATGAATGTAATTAAAGGTTCTAACAGGATGATTTTAATGACTTGGTAAGACCCGAGTTCAAAACTGGCCTCAGACACTTACTAGCTGCCTGACCCTGAACACGTCACTCAACCTCTGTTTGCCTCAGTTTCCTTATCAGTAAAATGGGGGTAATAATAGTACCCACCTCCCCAGGGTTGTTTTTATTTAAAAATTTTTTTAAACATCGTTTCTTTATTATTTATTTTTTAGTTTTCAGCACTCATTTCCACAAGATTTTGAATTCCAAATTTTCTCCCCATCTCGCTCCTCCCCTCATCCCAAGAAAAGTGTGCGTTCTGAATATCCCTTCCCCTAATCTGCCTTCCCTTCTATCACCCCACCCCTCCTCTTATGCCCTTCTACTTCTATCTCCCTGTAGGGCAAGATAGATTTCTATATCCCACTGCCTACGTCTTACTTCCCAGTTGCACATAAAAACAATTTTTAACATTTGTTTTTAAAGCTCTGGGTTCCAAATTCTCTCCCTCCCTCCCTCCCCACCCATCCTCATTGAGATGGTTTGGGGAACTTGCTTTGTAATAGCAAATAACTAGAAACATCTTAAATGTAAATGTCAAACTCTGGTATGTCATGGCAAGAAATATCTTTCCATAAATTTTAAAAGTTGGCACTGACGATATGGATAGACAGATCCATATATATATTACCACACCTATGCTTTCACTGGCATAATAATATGTAACATTTTTATGTATGCAAAGCTTTTTTTAAAAATTATTTCATTTGTTCCTGACAACTGTGTGTGGTGGTGGCTGGTGTTCAGTTGTGTCCGACTCTTCGTGATCCCATTTGGGATTTTCTTGGCAAAGATACTGCAGTAGTTTGCCATTTCCTTCTCCGGCTCATTTTATAGATAAGGAAATTGAGGCAAACAGGGTTAAGTGACTTGCCCAGGGTCACAAAGCTGAGTGTCTGAGGCCAGATCTGAACCCAGGTCTTCCTGATTCCAGGCCTGCCACTCTATCCACTGTGCCACCTAGCTCTGCCTCTGTAAAGAAGGAATTATTATATTATAACCTCCAACCTAAAAGAGGTTGAATTAACTTGTAACTATCCGAGGCAATATTCTAGTACTTCCCAGTGAGGAAGTTCCCTCTATCAATGCAGATACAAAGTGGCTTATAATCTTAGAATTGCCTTGGGCACTGAGAGGTTAAGTGATTTGCCTAGGGTCACACAGCCAGTAGAGTCAAAGACTATGTAACCTAACTCCAAGTCTTCCTGAATGAGGTCAGCTCTTTATTAACTAAGCCAAGGAGCTTCTTACAATGGACTGCAATAAGAGAAAAAAATGTGTTATAAAAAAAGGTTTTAGGAAATAGTACAATAGAAGAAACAGAACACATACATTATATAAAAGGAAAAATATGAAACGGAAAGAACAGACAAAAGAACAGAAAAGGACAAAGAGGAAGGACTTAAGTTGTTTGAGTAGTAACCATATAAAAGTTCATCTTTTTTTAGTGTTAATGATGCTAAATATATATAATTGGTTTTGTTGTTTAAAGATAATTATGCAACAAAATTGCTTGAAATAAGTTTAAAGTCTTAAAGGATGTAGAGGGAACCACATGTCCTCTAGAAGAGGAGCTATTCTTAACTAGAGGCAAAGTAAGTCAAAGTTACAGTTTATGATTTTCTTGTGCATTCGTGAAACACCCTAAACAAAATTATTGTCTTCTCCCCAAAAATTCAAGGTAACAAACTTTGCAAACTTACTTAAAAAACAAAAACATCAGAAAAATTTAAAAATCTAAGTCATTAAAAGAATGGAAAATATAAAATTACTTTCAAGAAAAGACCAATAAATCTTTAAAAAATAAACAGATCTTTTAAAAGTAGGATTTTCTGAAATAAAAAGCAGGACACAAAATATGTACCTAGAAAATGGGAAATGGTTTAAATTGTGGTATAGAATGCAACAGTACATCACTACACAGTAAAGAATGAAAGATGGGAGGAAGTTTGAGAACCATGGAAGGCTTTTTTTGGTTTGTTTTTTGCTTTTTAGTGAGGCAATTAATCTAGTAAGTGTCATGTGTCTGGGGCTGGATTTGAACTCAGGTCCTACTGACTCTAAGGCCAAAGTTCTATCTCCTGTGCTACCTAGCTGCCCCTTGTGGAAGGCTTTTTAAGAAAGTGATCCAATGTAAAGAAAGTAGAACCCACAGAATAAAACAGGGACTATGATAATGCAAATAAAGCTAACATTGAAGGTAACAAAATTATGGTCCAATGTGACAGTTTTCCTTTCTGTTAAAAACCAATAAAGTAACTTTTGGAGAAACGTATGTGTGTGGGGAGTTTGGATGTTCATTGTAAAGTGTCTGCTGGGTCAGAACAAAGCATCAATAAATTTCAAAAAGTAAACAGTACTTGGTTTAAAGTAATACTCCTTTTTTCTCATGTGGGCTTCTCAAGACAAAAGTTAAATTACTGATTATTTTCTTTCTATTTTGGATCAAGCTAGGCAAATAACTGTAGGCTCACAAAGAGAGTTGGATCAAAGTCACTGTAATCATACTTATAAAATAACTGTTTAAAAAATGCACATATTTATTAAAAATTGGGATTGTACCTATGATTTCCTGGGTATATAAAGCTCCTGCCAAGGAATTTCCTCTATTAAAGCATGCTGGCACCTTACAGTCCTAAAATTGCCCAGAGCACTCAAAGGTCACGTGTTAGGGGTGAACCCAGATCTTCCTGGCTTGGAGATCAGTTCTCCATCCACTATATCACATCGCCTTTAATTAATTAAATGCAGAGCCACAAAACAACCCAATGTTTTTCCCTCCCTTTAGTCTTTTATTTTCCTCCCCTTTCTCCTAAAACCCAAAGAAGGCAAAAACTGAATAGCAGACCCTCACCTGCAGCGGTCTCCATAAGCACAGCACCCTCGCTGATAATATCTGCACACCATGGCAGACTGACTAGTGGAGAGGTCATGGGAGTAGCGGCAGTTGTTTCCTTCCTTGCAAACCCCATGCATGAAATACCTGTAAGATGGACAAAAAAACATGGACCTCAAATGTAAAAATACCAATATGAAAAGTCAGTTTACTTAAATGACTCCATCAATTTCTCACCATACTAATGATACACACAATACACACACAGAGAAAACCACCTAGGAGAGAAGTCCATCTGGACTGAATAAAGAACTCTATATTAATTTTCATTATCACTTTTCAAACTATAGAGACATTTCTCTTTGCATCATCAATGAACAAATAATAGATTTAGGTTTTGCAATGCAAATTATTAATTTTATCACTACACTCTCACTGCCTTGTTGGATGAATTAACTGTATTTTTAGCATTAAATGAGGATGGTACAAAGACATAAAAGTTTCTAACCACACAGCACATCTGGAGGGCTGACTTGTTATTCTCCACTGTAGTTAACTTTGGCCATACTCACTCTATAAAGTGAGGGAAAAGAATCAAGACACAGCACAGACAATATGGATCTTGAAGTCCCATCCTTAACTTTAAGGAATTTCTTTAAGAGAATTGAAAACACATGTAGTAAAACATTCAGACAAAATGAGATGGAAAAGTAGATGTTGATTGATGACTACTTAAAACTGAACAAAATTAATGCAGCTAAGGGAAACTGTTAATGGTGGGGGGAAGGGGGAGGAAGAGAATCTTGATATTGTAGGGAATTAACAGAAACATACAAAGGACCAAGAGTCATTCCCAATAGATAAATAGTAAAAGGATATGGACATAATTTTCAGATGAAATTAAATGGTCCAAATCACTAATAAAAGACGAATTAAAATAACTCTGAGGTTTTACCTCACATACATAAAACTGGCAAAAACAAACAAAATTGACACAATTTCCATTGGGGCTGTCGGAAGACAGGAACACTAACACATGCAGTTTGTGGAGCTTTGAATCAGTCTAATCTTTCTAGAAAACAATTTGGAACTAGGTGAGAAATGTCACTAAAATGTTTATATCTTTGACCCAACAAGTGCACTACTGGGCACACATCCTAAAGAAGGTCAATAAGAGAAAGGTTCTATTTTTGTTTTATCAAGGAATGGAAGTACTCTGTGATAGCAAAACAAACAAAAAACCTAGAAACCAAGTGGGTACTCAAAGACTGAGGAACTATGGTACATAACAATAACAATAGCTAGCATTTCTTTAGCACTTTAAAGTTGGCAAAGCACTTTATAAATATTACCTAATTTTATCATTACCACAGCCCTGAGAGGTAGGTACTATTTTCATTTAAAGATGAGGAAACTCAGGCAAAGAGGGTAATTGATTGTCTCACAGTTACGAAGTGTCTGAGGCAGGATTTGAATTCAAGCCTTCCTGACTCCAGGTGCAGCATTCTACCCAATTATGCACCTAGCTGTCCCTAGATGAATGAAATGGAGTGTTATTTCACCATAAGAAATAATGAGGAATTCAGAAGGGAAGACTGCTCTGAAATGCTACATAGGAAGAAAGCACAACCAAAGGAACAATAAACGTAACGGCTAGCCACAACATTGAACAATCTTGGTTCCAGAGAATAGAGGATATAACACATCACTCTAATGACAAAGAGGAAACTACTTGTATGGAATGTGCGCTGTGTTGTTAGACTCGGCTGCTTGCTCAGTTTGTTTTACTCACACTACTTTTCCTGTTAAAAGCGAAGGTTCAATTGGAAGACAGAGAAGAGCACACTGGGAATGACTGCAGTGTTAAAGAAAACAAGACTGGGGCAGCTAGGTGGCACAGTGGATAGAGCACCAACCCTGGAGTCAGAAGAACCCCAGCTCAAATCTGCCCTAGATAGACACACAACACTCATTAGCTGTGTGACTCCAGGCAAGTCACTTAACCCTGATTGCCTGCCAAAAACAAAAAAAACAGTCACCAGTGCTGTCAGAGAGGTAAAAACTCCAGGTAAAAACTCCCACAGAACTCCCGGATTCTAGCACTGAGTTCTTCAAGGAAGGTAAGAAAGGGCAATGGTAGAACAGAGCAGGGCACAACTGCTTAACTAATTGCACTGGCTCTCTCAATATCTGAATACTGGAGAAACACTAAAAAATGTTATTATTCTTATTTTCTTCAAATGGTCTCTCTCTGCTCTTCATTTCTGGCAAATTCTTGCCTGAATTCTTCTGCACTGGGTCATTTCCTTTAATGTGCACACAAGCTACTAATGAGTCAAATCAAAGTGTGGTTATATAATTTCTGCCCCCAAACCCTATGCTAATCTGCAGATGCAGATTTAAAGAACAGCTGAACTTAACCAAGTTAGAAGGAAATATGTAGTTTTCATCAATTCAATCGCATTTCACTCTGCCATATCAGTAAGTTTACTCTAGGTTGACAGCTAATAGTTACAGTATTGGAAAAAATTTTTAAAAGTCATCTAGTCTAATATGCTTCACAACCCATATCATTATTATTAATTATAATAATAGACTGCTGAAGGTAGTGAGGGTGCTTTTTATTTATCACCATCTCACACAATCAACACATTCCCCACAAGCAGGATAAATGTTTGTAGAACTGAATTTATCCTGGGGGCAAGTGAGGAATCACAGAAGGCTTTTGAGCCATACAGTAAAAAGCTGAAAATTATATTCCTCGATTCACTTGACAGTAAGTGAATGGAAGAAGATGGAGGCAAAAAAATCTCCTGAGACACAAATAAAGACAAGGATCTGGATCAACCCAGTAAGAACTCATTTAGAAAGGTGGAGTGGGAGGGATACAAGTTTTTAAGGTAGGAGATAGGAACCGAGATCCTCTGAACACTAATGATTTTTAGCACCACAATTTTATGATTTCATAACCAACTGAATGTGAAGGGCAAACAAAGGTGACAGAATAAATAAAGTTGACTATAAGGTTTTGACTATGGAGTCACTGTCAGAAATAAAAGCTGGAGAAGATAACAAATTGAATTTTCAACACACTGAGTAGGAAATAACAGTGGTATAGAAGAATGAAGGCCAAGTAGAAGTATCTAGCATACAACTGGAACTTAAATGTAAAAAAGTAAAAACCTAAGATAAAGATTTTTAGTCAACTAACTGCATAGAGAAGACAGTTGAAGCCATGATGCTGAAAGATGAAGGTTCTAGAGGACAGCACAAAAAAAGAACAAAGGGCCAGAAAGCTGAACAGTAACTGAAGGCAACATAAAAGCCAGAGAAGAGAGAAATAGGAAAATCAAGGCAGTTGAGAAGGGTACATCCAGCTAGCTCCTGGATTTGGAGTCCAAAGACTTAAGCTTCAAATGGTGACTCTGCTACCTGCACAACACAGGGCAAATCACTTAGCCTTTCGTGGTGTGGTTTAATCTCTGCTCTAAATCTATGATGGTTCCTAAACTGCAAACCAATTCAGCTTTATAATCTTAGGGCATAAAGAGGTTACAAGCTCACCTTCCCTGTCCTACTCCCCAAGATACCAGTGAGGATGTGAAGATGTTGGAGACAGATAATGCCTAATCAATGGATGATATAGTATCAGGGAATTATTGCTAAATGAACAAAACCTGGACTGCCACTGTCCACAGGACCAACCCTAGAGACATCCTTTCTTTCACCAGCTATATCCTACCCTCCCCACCCCCTTTGCTTGCCTGGGAAAGAAGGGATTGTGTCTTTTTGTACCGACTCCCTCATGGTTCTTCCTCAAAACCATGGCTTAGCTTTGGATTTGGGTTCAAATCTTGCCACAGACACCAGCTGTATGTCTGGACAAGTCATTTAACCTCTCTGTCTCAGTTTTCTTTCACACCGGGGCAGGGGGGGGGGGCGGGGGAGATGGGGTGTCTGATGGGCTCCAAGGTCCACTCCAGCTCTAATCTATGATTCTAATTGACAACCAGAGAAAATGATAAAAGTATACTCAGCTGACACATCACTATTTCCAAGACACAAGATTCTACTGCTCAAAAAATTTGCCAGTGGTTTACTACTGCCTTTCTATCGCTTGAGCTTGGCATGTAAAGTCTTCTTTACTCTGCCTTTCCCTTATCTTTCCAGCCTTATTTCACATTTTTCCCCCTTCAAGGACTCTACATTCTAGACAAACTAACTTAATAGCTGTTCTCCAAACTCAAAATCCCATCTCCCTCAAAATATACAGGCTGTCCTCCATTCCTGGAATATACCTTTTCTCATCACTTACTCTCAGAACGCCAAACTTCCATCAAGGCTCAACTCAGCAACCACCTCCTAGATCTCTACCTGGTATTGTTCTCTCCCTTCCCAAATTACCTTGTATAAACTTATCTAGATACAAAGTGAACCAGCACTCCCCACACCCAGCAAAATGGCTTGAAGGTAAAGAACGTTAATTTATGGGGCAGCTAGGTGGCGCAATGGATAGAGCAGTGGCCCTGGAGTCAGGAGGACCTGGATTCAAATCCAGCCTCAAATACGTAACACTCATTAGCTGTGTGATCCTGGGCAAGTCACTTAACCCCAACTGCCCTCACCAAAAAAAAAAAAGTTAACGTTTTGTTTCTGTATCCCTAGGGTCTTAATGTTTACCGAAGACCAGAAGACTTGGGAGAATGATCTTCAAGACTGCAATCTGGATGAGGCAGTAAGGATAAAAACCTGGACTTTGCACATCTTCAGGGAACTTCTGGTAAGGAAATAGTAATAGCTATAGCTATCATTTATATACTTCAAGCTTTACAAAGAGCTTTATTTTCATATTATCTCATTCTAAGAATCTGACATTAAAAAAAAAGCATGGTGAATCCTAGAAAGTGCTAAGGCTAAGAGAACCACACAACATGTTCGCACTCATAGCGATCTTCTAAAGATCATTTGGTTCAACCCCAAGCCCTCATTTTAAACGTGAAGAAACTGACGCCTAGAAGTTAAGTGACTTGTCCAAGTGGCAGAACCCCAGCTTTTGCTGCTTCACTCCTCTCAGCTTTCTTCTCCACAATACCATCTCTTTGGTAAGTGCTTTTTTACATGTCACTTATTAAAAAGTATTAAGGGAC